CAAGCTGGACTAGGAGGCAGCTCCCACCCGCCAGGCACCCAGAGCCCCGGGAGTGACCGAGCCGGTAATGGAGCTCGGCCCCGAAGGGCGCAGGACCCCGGGTGGTGGCGGCGGCGTTCCGGCTGCGAGTGTACCTTGTTCAAGAACCCCTTCAGGACGTGGGAGGCCTTGACCGAGAGGAACCGGGGGATGCGGATGGGCTTCTCCAGGATCACTGCGGAGGGGTCATGGTGAGAGGCCGCGTCCCCGCCAGCCCCCGCCTGCTGGGCCCGCAGTGAGGGAGCCCCGGGCAGGGCCCTGGGACCTTCCGACAGCCCAGCAGGGTCTGCCACCCACAGACCCGCACCCATGGCTGAAGGTGTTCATCCCGGATGAACCAGTGTCCCTGGGCCCTTCCGCACTCGGCCACCAGAGGGCAATGCGGGGACAACCCAGGCCGGGCGCAGGGGCAGGTGCCCTGGGTGGCAGGGAGCCCTAGGGTGGCTGGAAGGGGCAGCCCCCGCCCCCACCGGGTCTGAGAACGGGGACCCTCCAGCCCCCTCACCTTGGAACAGGTAGTCCTCCGTGTTCATGTCGGGGTTGTCGGTGATGATGTCGAAGGGGGAGCGCCCAGCCATCATCTCGAACATCAGGACGCCCAGCGCCCACCAGTCCACGCTGAACCCTGGGGGCACAGGCCCATCAGCCCGGGGGCCGTCTCGGGTGTAACGTGTCCGACTCCCGCGCCCGCGTCCGGGGGCCAGTCTTTCCTGCTCGCAGCGCTGCTCACCGCAAGGCCGGGAACCCCGACCTGGCTCTGCCCTGGAGTCTGGGCTTTCACCTGGCCTTGCAATCCACCCTTGACCTCCACCCACACACCCCACGCTGCTCCCCCCCGCACACACACATCCAGCTGAGCCGATGGGTGGGACAGCAGTGCTCTCTCGTTCCTGCTCGTCCGAATGGCCCCCTCTCTACGACACTTGCTACAGGTTTTCTACGCTCACTGTTTTGGCTTCATGGTGGAGCACAGCTGACCTGCAGAACGTCTGGGGGGGGGGTAGGCAGCCCACTGCAGGCTTGGGGGGTCTCTCCCTGGGGCCAGCGACCTGCCTCCTCTGGCTGTGACGTCAGGGTAGCGGCCCCAGCGCTGCCCACCCTGCCCGCCCCCTTCCAACGACAGAGAAACGGTTTAGGCATGTGTGACGGCACATCTGGGAGCCGCGTGGTTGAAATGACGGCCCAGGCCCTGACTGGTGTGGCTCAATGGATAGAGCGCCAGCCTGTGGACTGAAAGGTCCGGGGTTTGATTCCCGTCAAGGGCACGTGCTGCAGGAGGCAGCCGATCAATGATTCTCATCGTTGATATTTCTATCTTTCTCTCCCTCTCCCTTCCTCTCTGAAATCAATGAACACATATAAAAAAATTTAGGAAAAAAAATAAAGAAAATGCCGGCCCAGGTCCCACCATCTCCTGTCTGCTCCCCGGAGGGGGACGGGTGGAGGCGGGCACAGATCTTCGGAGAGGGCAGGTTCCTGCATCGCCCTGGCGGTACCCCTGCCTCAGGGCGCTGTCTGGCTCTGCCAGCCTCTCCCTCCTCCCAGCCCTCAGGGCTCGTCCTTACGAGGCCTCCTGCCCAGGGCCCTCCTCCGGGGACACTCGGGCCAACACCTGAGGCCACGGAGGGGGCTGCGGGGCTCAAACAGGGCAGAGGCCAGAGGGCGGCCGGGGCTGGGCACAAGGTAGGGGCGAGCGTTTCAGCTGTAACCTGGTCAGTGAGCCTCTTGGCGCTGGGCCAGGCCCCGCCCTCCCTCTCTGCCCTGTGACCACGTCCCCAAGAGGGGCTTCTGGAGGTCCCCCCCCCCCACCCGTGCTCACCGTACTCCTCTCCACGCAGGATTTCCGGGGCGATGTAATTGGGGGTCCCGCAGAACGTGCTGGTGGTGTCCCCGGGGCCCAGGCCTTCCTGTGGGGACAGAGGTGGTTACCAGGAGGGAGTCGACCGGCTGTCGATGCG